GATATTGACAATAAAGAAATTTTAGATAAATTATATGAACTGGCCTTTAAGTTGGGACTATATGTTATTCTTCCACAAGACGATGACTTCAATAATATGAGTAGATGTTCCGTTAAACCAATACTTTTATCAACAGCTAGTGGCTCGTTTAATTATCAATATTCACCTTTTAGACATGAGTATGAGGTTTTGGGATCTAATTCTATTGAAAATCAAAAAAATATTTTCATCCAACTCTTGAAATATTTTTCAGTTTATGAAAATCAACACAAAGAGATTTCAGATGATGTATTAACAAAATTAACCAATCAAAGTCTCACATTTAGATTACAAGTTCTTGCGGGTCTTATTGACGCAGATGGTTACAAATTACAAAGTAAAAATACTTATAAATATTATTATTATTTACATAAATATTCAGAGGATGCATCAATAATCCGACTTGCTCGTCATCTTGCGCGATCAGGTAAAGATTAACTTTATTAATGTAATTTTATCATAATTTATTTAACAAATAACCTAAAAATAAATATTTAAATTCGTGGTTTTTAGTTGGATTCCAATGTATTGCGTACGAAACGACATATTCGGTTCCTAATGAAAGTAACTACTATGATGATTTAGAGCAGAAATTTATAATTTATGATACAAATATTACCCAAGAACAGGCAGTAATTAGTATTGATATTAAGGGTGAAGGTTTAGAAGATATTCCATGTATTATTAAATCAAAAAGAATAAATCGCAGCAGAAACAAGCAGGAACACATTGTAATGAATAGAGTAGCGACATTAGAGTATGAATTTGACATTATTGAAATAGAACCTGGTGAATATTACGGTTTCCAAGTAACCGGAAGTAATCAACGGTTTTTACTTGGAGATTTTACAGCATCTCACAATTGCCAAGTATTTGATGGTGAAATTGAAAGCTTGCAGATAGATATGGTACAGAAAGAAAGTATCCATCCAAGAAAATCCTACAAAATGAATTCATCTTGTGCTGATATTTTATTATTTGCTGCCTACAAATGGAATGTATCTAAACCATCACTATTGAATGATACTAAAGACACAATGGATGGTACTACTACTTCTCGATGGTTTGTTGATGTTCAACTTCGATTTGGAGACTACGATTCACATGATGTATGTATACTAAATTTTTATTTTATTTAAATTATTTTGAGTTAAATTATTTATGCCAATAACATTTTATTTCTATAGATTGAACGTTATACCAGAGCCAAGTTCTTAGATTATTCAACAGATAATATGAGTATCTATCCATCACCATTTGGTATAATGATTGGTATTGATTTAGCATATAATTTACATTCTGCATATGGACATTGGATTCCTGGTTCCAAGACTTTGATCCAGTCTGCAATGGCAAAAATCATGAAAGCGAATCCAGCATTATATGTTTTACGTGAACGTATAAGAAAAGGTTTACAATTATATTCGTCCGAACCCAGCTGGTGTTAATTTATAAGCAGTCAAAGAACATGATCCTGGTGTAAAACTAACTGTCATTGTTATTGTTTTATCACCATCCCAATTTTTATTTTCTGCCACAAACTTAGCATGTAAAGAGAGTATTGTTGGTGATAATTGTGCAGTTTCAAATGGTTGAGTGACAATAAGACCTAATGGTTCATAATCTTTTAGATACTCATTATCTGGCACCATATTAGGCAAATTGACCGTTTGATGTGTACCATATTGTGGTACTATGACTAGAGCTCTAATTTCTTTAACTTGTGCATTATCACGAGGCGATATTCCATACATATAAGCTGCTATTTGTGTACGAAGATCTGCTATTTGTATAAACCTCTTCAAAACATTCTTTGGTAATACATAAGTATAACCAGTATCTCTTATATCTTCAGCATTGACATAAATATGATTTGTACGTAAATGTAGATTTGTTGACGATATTGCTCTTACACGCCATTCAGTTTTCGATGAAAATGTTTGCTGTTCATAATTACTTGTAGTCGTGACAATCATTTCGTCTCCATGAATATTTTGAGTTTTTGTAGTGACAGCTGTTAGCTGTGATTGTTCTTTGGTTTGTTTTTCAATTTCCGCGATCTGCTGTCTTTGAAGAGATGGTGCAGATATCTCCATACCAAGGATAATGTCACGTATTTCTGATTGAGTTAACGAAGCAACATTCACATTGTTCTTTTTACCATAATCTGCCAGTATCAAATCTTTCAATGCGACTTCAACCTTTATCCATTCTTCATCTGTTAATGTTGGCCAAATATGATGCGGTTCAGTTATGGTATTTTTATCTGGTCTTAAAATCATTTTAGTCTTGTCGGTGTTTACATGTAATGCACGTAAAATAAGAATAAGACGTGAAAA